GGAAGGTCAGAGGTCGGTAGTCTCTGTGAGGTGCTGAGGAGAACCGGGTGCTTTTCCCAGAAGAGCCAGGAAAGAAGCCGCAGGTGCTAGGCTTTCCTCCCGGGCGGCGTGTCACCCCGGCGGCTCTCAGTTCTCCTTTCCTGGCACTGGGTCGCTTAGTTCAGGGAAGGGCAGGGGCCAGGCCGGGGGGAGCGTGTGACGCGGGTTTCCCTCAGGACGCGGTAGAGAAGCCCCCTGAGGCTCCAGAAAGATGCAGTTTTTTGGCCGGCTGGTGAATACCATCAACAGCGTCACCCAGATATTCACAAACCCTTACCGGGTGAAGGAGGTGTCAGCTGCAGAGTATGCCACTCGTACCTGCCTGAGGGAGGAAGGCAGGGTGGCCCTGTATAAGAACACACTTGCTCACTCGTGGGATTGCCTGCTGGTGAATCCACAGAGCCCACAGGTCGCTTTCCGGTAAGTGACAGACCTTTAGCGATCACTACTCATGTGTGAAACTAAAGACTCAAAATTTCTGATCTCAGGACCGTAGTGCTTTGCAACTGTGGGTGTGGGGTGATGTGTTTGATCAGCAGATGGGCTCGTGGGGAGTGGGAGGCCCTTGTGTGTGCTGGTGGAGGAGTTGTGGTCAAAACAGCTTCTGAGAACAGGGCAGGACAGACTCCAAACACTGTGAAAACAGGCAACCGTGAAATAGGTACTCAGGTCAGAACATCCACGGGTACACGCACTGCCGCTTGTATTCATTGCTGCTTTAGCATCTGGAGCACAGGATACTTCAGCCCAAAAGTTAACGTTCCTCAGGAAGAGGAGGTGCTCTCTGCTAATGAAGTAGGCTCCCTTCTTCCTTTAGAACAAGCATGACACCAGATGAGGAGGAATGGGAAAGTCCCCCAGTGTTAATATTTGGAGAACTCTTTCTCCAAGATAAATGGGATGGAGGTTGTTTCTTTGAGCAGGGCCAACGCTGTGTTTGCCTTTCTTCCAGGCTCTTTCAGCTCGACAATGAAGCAGAGGCCCTGATGCGTTTTGAGCAGTATGCCAGGCAGTTGCGCCCTTTCTACGAGAGCTCACAACAGGCCTTGTTGCTGGAGGATCTCCAGCAGCTCAGTGACTGCTTCCGCAACCACCCCAGCTGGTCCCCGGCACATGTTGCAGTGGAGTTTGGCCATCGTGAGAGCTTCCGGCACAACCACGTTCTGAGGCAAGGGACGGGAGGGGTCTCTGGTGGGCCTGGTGCTGGGAACAAACTCGGGAGGGCAGGCTAGGCCACATTAGGGTATGCTGGCATGATGTATCAAAGCAATGGGGCCTGCTTCTTGGAATAGCTTAACACCTGTGGTCACTGCAGAGGTTGAGTTTAAAAGTGTCAGCCTTGGTGTGTTTTACCTGAATGACAGATGTGGTAGCAAAGAGGGTTTGATGGTCTCTGTGTAAGCTTATTGACAGGTTTTCAGCCTGCTGTTGAGTTAAAGCCCGGAGCTCTGATTTTTGAGCTAAAAGATCGACGTGTTTTGCTAGAGGCACAGCTTCTTACAACCCTTGTGGAGCTGCTTCTTGGAGGGGGTTGTGGCTGACTTTGTAAACCAGGAGAGAGGAGGTTCACAGAATCACAGAATCGGTTTGATTGGAAGAGACCTCTGGGATCACCGAGTCCAACCTTTGCCCTAATACTACCATGTCAACTACACCACAGCACTAAGTGCCACATCCAGTCTTTTCTTAAACACCTCCAGGGATGGTGACTCCACCACCTCCCTGGGCAGCCCATTCCAATGCCGAACAACCCTTTCTGTGAAGAAATGCCTCCTCATTTCTAGCCTGAACCTCCCCTGGCGCAGTTTCAGACTATGCTCTCTTGGCCTGTCAGTGGTTGCCTGGGAGAAGAGACCGACCCCCACCTGGCTACACCCTCCTTTCAGGTCGTTGTAGAGAGTGATCAGGTCTCCCCTCAGCCTCCTTTTCTCCAGGCTGAACAACCCCGGTTCCCTCAGCTGCTCCCCATCAGACTTGTGCTCCAGACCCTTCGCCACCTTCATTGCCCTTCTCTGGACTCGCTCCAGCACCTCAATGTCTTTCTTGAAGTGCAGGGCCCAGTAGGAGGGCTCAGTTCAGTAGGACTGTCTTTCTGGAAATGTTTTTTGGCCACAAGCACCTGCTCTCTTTCCATGGGGAAGTTCCTTGAGGATAGAGGACACTAGTGAGGAGTTAGGGGGCTGGGGGACTAATGGCAACACCTCTGCCAGGTTGCTGATTGTAACCTGTCTCCTGCCTTCCTTTGGGCAGCCAGAGCTGCTCCCGTACGGGGGACGGAGGAAGGAGCAGCGACACAGGGAGAGGATCCATTGCAGGGCTGCTTAGTGTCCCTTCCCTGTGCTCCTTGCTGGGCTTTCGTGAACCTCGTGGTTTGCCCCAGTTGGGCCTGTCGCAGATGTGGAAGGTACGTTCATATCAGCTCCCAGGGCAGCTGAATGTCCTCATTTCGCAGCCCTTCCTTGGCCTTACGTTGACTCCTCTCTTGCAGCTGTGTGAACAGCACGGACAGCGAGGATGGCTGCACCCCACTGCACCTGGCATGCCGCAAGGGAGACATGGAGTGCCTGCTGGAGCTGCTGGAGTGCCACGCGCGGGTGGACGTTACTGACAAGAATGGAGAGACCGTTTTCCACTATGCTGTGCGAGGGAACAGTCCCCAGATCATCGAGGTGGGAGTGATTTCAAAGTTGGGTGGGGAGTGGGACTGGAATGAGTCCTCTCTATTCTGTGAGGAAGGAAACAGGAAAATAGCTGAGGACAGGGAAGGAGAAAGTCAGTTCCCTCTGCTGCAGCATCAAGTTAGTGCTTGAGGCTGATTTCAACCTCTTTCTTTCCCCTTCACTGGTGCTGTTTCCCGTAAGCAGGCTCCAGATTCCACCCTGCAGTGCAACAAGAATATTAAGCAAGTTTCCTCAGAAAGTGTCCTTCATTGCTATTTGCATCAGGCCTTCGTCCTGCCTTTCCTCAGGCCCTTGACTGTCCCTTCTCCATCTCCTGGGAGCAACGTATTTGATTCTGGGCAGAGGGCTCCCATGGGGGTGTGTGTATTCAGGCTGCTGTAGGGGAGTGCATGTTGCCCACAGACTGAAGGACGCTTTGGAACCACCCTGGGCTCTCCTGGGCTGCAGAACTTGTTGTCTGAACTGAGCGGCCTTGCACGGGAGGCAGCAATCAGAGCCTTGAGAAAGAGACAGTCTGAAACCAGAGGTGTTCTCGATTGCTGAGAAGTGCTGGGCAGAGTGACAGGGTTCGTAAGGACGTGGGTGGCCTTCCACATTGGTTCCTCAGGTCTGTCAGCTCCCCAGCACCCTGTGTGAGTGTGAGACTGGCTCTCCCCTGAGGCTGCACCCCCACATTTGCCCAATACCTGTTGTGACCGGTCTGCCTGCCGGACTGCGTTGGGGTTTCCTAATGTGTGATGGGGGAGGGATGGCGATCGGGGCTTGCCGTGCTGATATCCTCTTCCTTTATTCCTCTGATGGCAGCAACTTGGCTTGTTGTTACAGCAATACTTGCAGGTCTGATCTGTCTGCTGTTTGTTCTTTTCTCTCTTGATTCCTTGCTAAACCAGAGGAAGGGAATTCTAAATTCCTGCTTCTCTTGTGTGCACCAGGGCTCCCTGCGTTTCACCAGTATGGCACTGAGATATTTTTTGTGTAACAAACCAGTCAGCAGGTAACAGGCCTAAAATTTACAGAGAGAATAGGAAAATTCCTTCAAACGTATCCCTACATGTGTATTTTAAACAGAATCCTGTTTGTATCTGAAAGCAATGGTGGAGTTGCAGGGGAGGTTGAGCTCCTGCCTGCTGACTGTCCGTGGTAATGGATGGGGCCGCAGCAGGAGAGGAAACTGCCGGTTTCAGGTAGCGCACTCATTCGGTTGGGCTGAGCTTGGCTCACGCAGTGGGAGGTGATGGGAGTCTGCTGGGCTGGGTCATTCAAGGTGGAGCGAGCCCTTTTAGGCTGAGGGGTATCTCGGAAGCACCCGAGCCAGAGGAAGGAGGCACAGAAAGCAGTGATAAACCCTTTGGGGAGAGAAAACAAGGAGCCTTTCCATGGCTACTGTGTTGGAAGCAGGAGTGGAGAGGACAGACTGTAGCATCGTGAGGAACCCAGTGCTCCAGGATCTGTCCTCGGAGCTTGGGAAGAGAGACGGTGCTCTTCCATATCTGATTTATTTATCTGTTGTCTCCTCTTCCCAGCTCCTGGGCAGAACCCCAACTGCTGGCTTGGACCACCTGAGCCGTGAAGGGCTGACCGCTCTGCATCTTGCTTGTCAGCTGGGCAAAGAGGACATGGTTCGGTCTCTGCTGAAATGCCATGCCAGCTGCAGCGTTGTGGGGACGCTGGGCTACCCCATCCACACAGCAATGAAGTTCTCCCAGAAGGGGTAAGTTATGGCTTGGGCTGCCAGAACAGGGCTCTTCCTCCACTCTGGGGACCTGTCTGCTTGCTTGGGATTGTCCCAAGACTGGACCCCTTCCAGGGTAGTGCTCAGTAGGAAAATGTCCTGTGCTGTCCTCTGCTGCATCACCGAGTTGGCAAAAGAACAAAGGAGTGCTGGTGTGGCAAAGAAAGAAACGTTTTCAGAAAAAAAAGTTTTTCCCTGAATTTGTCTCTGTATATTATTTAGTATCAGACATCGGGAGAAAGACACAGATATTTTTTTTTTTAAATGTTTGTGAAATACTTTTTCTCAGAATGAGCTGTGAGAAGATAATTTACTGAAGCTTAAATAGTATTACTAATTGCTGTACCTCTGCCTTTGTGCGCTCTGATCGTAATAAGCTTTCATTTCAAAGCCTAGTTATTCCCGTCTCCTGTGGGCAGAGGTACTCTTGACTCTTAATAACACACTCTGGAACTGAATCAAAAGAGACATGATGTTTACCCCCTGTTTTGTTTTCCCTGGAGAAATTTGTTTCTCTTTGTACGTGCTTTATAATACTTAATTTTCATAGAGTGTCCAAGCTCTGCAACTACAGTTCTCAAGTCAACACTAGCTACTGCTAGCTAATTTTTCAACATTTTGAAAAGTGCTTTCCAACATCAGAGGCACGTTCAGAAGCCAAAAATGTGCTCAGGTCTCTTAGTTTGCAGTGGGGCTCGATCTCTTGTACCTGGTTTATTTGGTGCTGTTTCAGAGTGGAGAGTGTATGCTTGTTTCTCAAGTCCACCTACCCGCACTTTGTAGGCACTAGATACGAGTCTGTTCACAATAGGTGTGATTTTTTCACTCTTGGGGAAGTACACAGCTTCTTAATGTTAGCATGTACTTACCTATTTCAGTTTTATCCCCATGTTTCCACGGAGAGAGAGAGAAGAGAAGAATTTCCCCTCAGGTTTTGAGAGTTTTTGGAAATGCCATATTCCTGTATTGGAGAAGCACTCAGATGTTGCTCCACAACTTGGGATTGGGAAGGGATTCTCTTGCTTCCTCCAAATGCTGTACTGATTGTATGCTTTCTGTTCTGCCCTTCCTTTCTAAAAAGAACAAAACAAAACTGCATCTGAGGAGTTTGAAGATGTTGCAGAGAGCCTGCTGCTGCTGAAGCGTTTCCTGAAAGGCTCTGGGTGGGAGGCAGGTGCTGATGTTGGTGGAGGTCTTGAGTCAAGATGTCAGCCATCCATCCCTTCATCTCATTTTCTTTGCCAGGTGTACCCAGGCCATCCTTGAGGTGGATGCCAGCCAGGTTCACTCCAAGGACCCGCGCTATGAAGCCACTCCGCTGCACTGGGCAAAGAAGGCAGAGGTAAATGGAGCCAATCTGTGGCGAGCGCCTGGTGACCTGGTTAATCCCTCCTCCTGCTAACCTGTCCCTTTCTGAGTGCGTGTGCAGAGCCCTGGGAGTGTCAGAGCCCAACCAGCATCCTAGTCTCTGATTCTTTGCCCTATGCTGATCAGTGCTGTTTGCCACGAGGGACAGAGCAGTGGAACCTTGCAGTGAAATAAACTGGTGGGCTCATCCCTAGTACCTCATCCATGGCTGAGGAACCACCAGTTTGTCCCTTTTCCCTTTTGTTGGGGAAATTGCAGCACTGTCACTGAAGCACAGTTGCCCGTGGGGGGAGCTCTCTTCTCTTTACCTGCCGTTTTCATGGGAGGAAACGGATTGATGCCTTAAAAACTGCAGGGAGAGTGTGAGGTAGGCACAGGGTGGTCGCATGTGGATTAGGATCCATCTTCTGCCAGAGATGGGCAGATCGGTGGTGTGATACGCCATGCTGGAGCACCTGAATGGTGCTTGTTGCAAGCAGAGGACATTCCTATGGCAGGACTGTTTTCCCTCCTGCAGTGTCACATCCCTCTCAGAAACGTCGTGTGGCATTTCAGAGCAGACATAAATCTGCTTGGCTTATAGAGAAGATCAAAAAGCAGACTTTTTCCCTTCACTCTGCAAGGATTCTGGCCTGAGTAGGAGCTGGTTTGTCTCTGCTGATCTCAGCCAGTCGTTATACTTGCGTACAAGTCCCAAAACATTCAGGAGCTCTAGCCAGATTGTGAAACCACCAACTAGTTCTGTGGTAAAAGACAGAGAAACCCCATCTCCAGTGCTTGGAACAATGCAGCTGGCATCTGCCAGCCAGCTGTATCCATGCTAAGGCTCTCTCCTCTTCCCCTGCTTTGCTTGCCATGAGACCTGGATCGTTTGTGCGCCGAGGTGGTTGTCCTCACGAATACTTTCTCTCTTCTTGACCTGGCACCTACACGCTTGGGCACAGATGACACGGCTGCTGCTTGAGTACAGCTCTGAGGTGAATTTGACCAGCCGGACAGGTGACATGGCTCTACACATCGCCGTCAAGAGGGGACGCTTTGACTGCGCCATGGTACTGCTGACACACGGGGCGCACACCAATGCCAGGGGTCAGGATGGCAACACACCACTGCACCTGGCCATGAAGGTGAGTTTTCTGCAGAGCCTGCTGGGAAGGAGAGAGAAGATTCTCTTGAAGGGTTGAGGCAGGGATAGACTCCTTTGAAATTCTGGCTGTTGCCTTTCATGGGGTGATCCCTTGTGGGTGCTTTGGATAATGAAATGAGGAGTGAAGGAGTGAGAAATCGTGTAGCCGAAGGGAGCGTGGCTCTTGACTGAGCTTTCTCTTGTCCCCTAGCATGACCACCTGGATATGATCAAAGCGATCATCGTGTTTGGAGGAGATGTTGAGGTCCCCAATGATTTCGGGGAGACACCAGGGCTGTTGGCAGCCAGGAGCAGCAAAGGTAAGGGAGCATGTCAGCAGCCTTACAAGGTGAACCCAGCATCCTGTCTCCCCTTGGTGGCCAAAACAGTGTCTTGGGGAGAGGTGAAAACATGCCAAGCGTGGGTGATGCTTCTCCAACATGCTTTCCCAGCTTCTAGTTGCTCACAGGGTAGGCGCTTCCTGAGCTAGTGGCATAGGCTTTGTATTAATAGCCCTTGATGAGTTTCTCTTCTGTGAGACAGAGATGCAAGAGGAAAAGCTGGCACGCACTCCCCATTTTTCAAGCCACGATCAAGTCAGGCACTGCAGGCTCACAACGGGATGATGCAGTGCTGCTGAAC